TCGAATTCTACAGTTGCCCGAATTCTTTCTACACGGAGGTCAAGGGGGTGGGGTTATTCAGGTAGGTTACTTTCCGAACCCCTGATTCCGGGGTGTGTGCACGTTTTACGCGCCCCCCGTTGGAAGCTACGCACAGCTGTTCCCTCTGTATTGTTGAATCCGAGTAGTTTATACTACCATGTTACATTAACTGGATCATTTCCACGCCTTAGGTTCATGCAAAATACTAAGAAACAAATAGAATTTTAAGATACGTCCCACATCTACCAGTATTTATGGCCTCTGTAGAAAATCAAACTTACCGGTGTGTACTTTGAAACCCATATTTATCTGGCAATTCTGGCTTCCGTCGCGCTATCTGATTCTATCAGCGTAGCCCGAAGAGTTCCACAGGGATTCATGATTGGCCCACAACCTTTCCTAGTTTTTGTAAAGGATCTAACGGACATACTGGGGCAAAAAACGTTATTGTTCGCAGACGATCCAAAAATACGGAAAATAGTGTCAAAACCTGAGGACTCAGTGGCACTTCAGGGAACACTTAATACTGCTTATCAATAGTCAATCGAAAATAGCATCGAATTCAATGCATCAAAATGTACGGTCATATCCCTTCGCCACAGAACTCGGTTTCCGTATTTACTGGGATATCCACAACTTTGGTATGCCTCGAAAGGGAATCATCTCAGTGTCATTGTTCAAGACCATCTAAATTGTTGTATAAACTGCTTCAGGGCGTCATGTTGGTTTGCTAGAGCGAGTATTTGGCCAATTCGAACCTATGCTGTTCATATATTTGTTGTCAGCCTACATTCGGCCCCATAATTAAGTGAACCATTCAAGTGCAGAATTTATGGCGATTTTAAGATCCTGGAACATTCAAAAGGAACGGCCATCACAGTGATCAAGGGACTGACTGCATTCCCAGACTTCTATGGAAAGACTGGAATCCCCGGGGCTGTACTCCACACAGTATCGACGAATTCGAGGGCACTTGATTTTGGTGTATTAAATAATGCGGAACCCTCAGCATCCATGTCGCTCACTATTCGTCATGTCGCCCAACACTCAGCTCCTAGGGGGCACTCATTCGAATAAGTGCTCCAAAAATGTCGACCGTAATGCCGGCGTCATTCATTTGCCTTCACAGTGTGCATTATTGGGACTTCTCTACCACCTCACGTTGTTTCTGCTCCCATAATCGATTCATTTAAGCACAAAACGGATGAAACATTGTCATTTCGTACAGTTCCACATCCGTCGTGGTAAGCAAAACGAATAAAACTTGTGTCATTGCTCATCTCATCCAACCAAGTATGCGAAAAACTCCATGGGATAAAGCAGCAAGTGTCTATCGACTCCATAAAAGATAAACAATGCCTGTCTGTACTTTGAAACCCGTATTTATTTGACGGTTCTGGTTTCTGTGGCTCTATCTAATCCCATCAGCGTAGCCCTAGGATTTCCCCAGCAAGACTACATGGAGTGTACACAATTACAATTTGCTAGTCTCGCTTCTGTGGCATACAAAAGAGGTCTGGTGAGGACTCTGTCTCATCGAGATCAGGAATATGTGCTACCTTGATACTGTTTAAGGAAATGAGGCATTTCCGCGAAGGACGCTAGCGAATAATGATTATTCAGAGAAATTTATTGATGTGCATAGCAGTCGAAGGTCACCGGATGATCCCGTCTGTGAAGTACCGAAGAAAAACTTCTTCCTCGGACGCGCCTTCAACGGTGATCTTTTGATGAACGACGTGCGTCAGCAACTCAGGGCGGTATTATGTGAAATCTTTTCTGCCGCACAGCCCGGATTGATACAGTTTATCCACGGAATTTCTTTGGGACAATCGAAAACAGGATCAACCGCACAATTCTGCCTCACACATCGTCTACCAGTTCACCTCACCACTCTCAAAACCTGATAATTTTCCATGCAGCCATGTAGTTATCAAAACTTACTTGTATAAATACCAGATTGTTGTCTTCTCTGTTCTAACAAAAAACCAATCGCTTGTAAGTATTTCCGTGTAATAAAGCTTTGACTTTGATAATGATTTTCGTAATCTGACATCAAACAAGCGGCCAACTATAACCATTTGTTTCACTCTCACTACAGTTCAGTTGACACAACCCTTGTTACAGTTTCGTGAACTCCCTGTTTAGAGATGAAGGAGTAGATGGAAGAATAATCAGTAGACATACGAGTAGAGAAATTCAGTAGACTAAAAGTGTAAGAAAATTGAGAAGATGCACGAGCGCGACTGGTTGCAACACCATATCAACATATCACTCAGTTCCATTTTGTCTGTTCGCTGAGCCTGGTAATTTGCTAGCAAGGTGACATGATCAGTGCTTGTGAAGTGCCTGTGATCTGCTCGTACCCGATCGTCTACATATATGTTCTTCTCCACCGACCATTTTTATCCCTTGTTCTCTCTGTGTTCGACTCGGCTAGCCGTTGAACTGGTACCAGCGAGTGAGAGTGGGAGGGGAGGGTTTGTCCTTCCACCCTGATTACGGCTTCGGTCCGTTCTGAGGTCGCGGTGTGACCCTTTTTGTTGCGTCATTTGATCCTTGAGATGCATTGGCGTGTACACGTGATCCACTTCGATGTGACTGTTTAATCAGTTGATTGAAGAGTGCCAAGTATCGAGAAATTCTCTGGTGTGTTTTGACCGGACTTGCACAATAACTCGCACTGATTCGAAGTCAAATCCTTCTTGATCTTCGTGAAGGGAACTCAACAATAGTGCGTCATGTCTCCTGATTTCCGATTGTTGTTCACGGATCTTTGTTGACAGTTTTCTTCCAGTTTGTCCGATCTAGTGTTTGGGTAGTTCTTGCATTTTATGTTGCTGATAACACTGCTCCTGTCCTTCTCCATTGTTCTCTTCCTTGGTTTCGACAGAAGTCTTCTTAGAATAGTGGTCAGTCAACCAAACCCCGGCATTGCTTTTCTAGTTGTCCCAATGGACACGTGCAATACAGTGTAAATAGCGGTGTTTGAACACTGCTAATCTGTCTTTGTTCGACTCTGGACAGTCAATCTTTATCCTATTTTCGTAATGTTCAAGTTTCTACGCTATTTAGTAGCACTGGCTTTAGTAGTATGTGCCGGATGTCGCGCTGGTGCCACAGAAGACTCAAGTTGACAAATACCAATCGAGCCTTCTGCACACGAGCTAAAACTTTATCCCTGATGCGTCTATCCGGTGAGATATACCTTCCCAATTATCACAAAATTTCCACTCCCTCTAATACTTCCCTAGTGAAGATGAGGTTGTGTGCTCGAAGAACCGACTCTTTTAGCAACATTTTACAGTTTTCGGGTGAAAAAACGCACACAAAACATGGCACTCAAGCTATCCCGAAAAGTTTTGCAAATTACCTGGATCTGAACTCAGCAGGATAATGTCGGCTGCATATTCCAGGTCAAACAGTCTGCCACCTGGAAGCAAATCGATACCACTATCCTCGTACAAGGATAGCCAATAATCGAATCCATAATCCTGCTCGGGTTAGGCTCTGGCTATCAATATAAACCGATTGTAATACTGAAATAAACCCTTCGGGAACCCCATTCAGGGGATAGGCGGCGCTAGAGTTAAAAGCGATTGACTGACTCGAAGGCTGCTACTTTCAAATTGAGAAAGATTGAAATGGCAGGTATGCGAACAGATCGTTAGTTTTCTATAGTATTTTTGGCGAAAAAAGACACAACCTAGACCGGATCTAACACCTAGGGGGATGGTTCTCACAATCGATATGTATGACATGCATTTGGGAGTGCAAGGAAATTGATGCACATGAAAGAGATTTTCACTGCTTTTCGGTTCTGTAAAATCTATTTTATTCATAGTTCAGACACTCATTTGTATAGTCACCAAGCTGCA